GAAATTCAACAAAATGAATCATTACACATGGATAAAAAAAGGTATAAGCAGTAGATGGATGACTAAATATAAAAAGGAGGGCTATGATGGATTAATTGTCTTCACAGTTGTTACCAGAGAGCTGCTTCCTCCAAAAAAAAGTCCAGAACAAGAAAAACCTGATCAACAGACGTATGCTTTAATGTTAGAACAAAGGCTCCTGCACTACTACTGCATTGAAAATTATGATTCCCGGATAGTAAATCCTAGTTTCAGCGAAGGCAGGAAAAGCAAAAAAAGCAATGAAGAAGAAGATGATGATCATGCACCACACAGCGGTCATCCACTGTATATTGCTGTTAAATTTAAGAAAGAAAATGACTTTTAACTGAAGAATTCAGAAAAATCACACTAGATACTTAAACTAATACTTAACATTTTGTACCAAACTTTCATTTTTAATAAATAAAAGCGACTTTTTGAAAATTTAAATGCATATCCAGGAATGAGCAGCAAATACCCAAAACCTATTGCTAAATGTATATCTACATGTACACATGACATGTACATGTATAGTATATGCACACAAAATGTGTACCATAACAGAGATCGCCAACTATACAATAAAGCTCTCATTCAATTGTGTTTACCTGAGTCCTATTTTCTTGCTATAACTTTATACTTACTAGTTCTATTGTAAAATACCTGTACCAATGCATTCCTCTCCTTTCACTGCATCTATTGCAATACTTAAGAAGTAGCTGTAGTTTTTGTGCTTATAGTTAATGCAGAAAGTACAGCCACACTTTTCACAATATTATTGCATTGTGTTAATTATTGGGTTGGGTCAGTATATAATGACTTCCTGGGCTCAGGTGAATGCAAAATGGACTTTACTGTAATTTCTCTAAAAATTCGTCATCACTGTTTTGGGACAGGTAATTTTCAAAATAAAATTTTAGACGTCAAACGAAAATAATTAAGCCAAAATAATTATTTTTGACAAATTTAGAGGCAGCATGGTGGTATGTCAGTGCGTAATGAAAGTCTGCCAAGTTGCTGTTTACCTGCCACTCCATTAGAACACATGGAGAGGACATTTTTGGTGACAAATAATTAGAATACTTTAGGTACTATTTCTCCCAAATAATTATTTATTTTCAAAATTAGAGTACCAAATTTTTAGAGAAATTACGGTAATAGCTCTTTTTGTCCCTAGATCTTGGGTTTTTCCCTGAACACTGCTGCACATGCATATACATGTAATAAAAGATCCTCTAAGACATGTATAGCAAATGTACATATATACAATGTACATTATGCAACTGCCAGAGATGCATATTTATAAATATCAATACCTGTTGCAATAAAGCCTCAAGAACATCTAAACTTCTCTCACCAATTTGACTAACCACATCAACAATTGCCTCAAAGAATGCTATATGGAGCTCCCAATTACTCTAATGGGTGTGGTAATTAATGGGCGTGGTCTCTTACTAAATGGGTGTGGCTTACTTTGTCATTCAGAAATGTGATCATATGTGACAATATAACCTCTTTAGCTGGGGATTGAAGAGTAGAAATTTTTGTAGATTGTCATGATTATTTTTTGAGTGATAGTCTTACCTTTTTGAGCTCCAAAGAAAGTGCATAATTTCCCAGCACTGTGGGTTAGGAATGCTCTCTTAACATTCGAATCCTAAAATAATAATAATAATAATAATAATAACTTTTGTCCATTATACATGTATATTGTCAATATTATTAAGTTTGTCTATACATGTACATAATACATAAGGTATATCACTATATATATATATGATATATCACTATTTCTGTTTTCTACAATAATTATACATAAGACGAAAAGGCTTTTGCGTACAGAAAATAAAATCTATTTACAACAACCAGCAGCAACCGTCTGGTTACAATAACCTGTAATACATGTACAAGTACTGTATTGCACATAATTATGCTACACAACTTCACAATTTACTAGAAGATTACAATAAAGAAGTCATTCTAAATCTACATGAACAAATCTCTTAAGAGAGAAAGAGAGAGGTAGAGTGTTCTCAGCCATCATGTAAACAATGAAAACATCTATAGGCTAGCAATATCAACCGTTTATAAAACTTACACAAAATACATGTAAGCCTATTGCACATATTTACATGCAAATAGTACATTTTTATGTTTTAATTGCAAGTTTGCAACACATTTGACTGAGAGTGCTCTAAACTGAACAACATTTAAGGCAGTGTTAATCACACCATGCCTTCATAGTGTATAACATAATGGTACATGTAGCCAATTGATTATAGCCATTATGCAGTTAAAAAGCTATCACATAGGTAATATAGCAGCTATAACGAGGAAGTAGTTCTTATTACTAAAGCCATAAAAGGTGAATAACTGGGAGGTGCTTTGGATGGCACTTGTAGTACTTATAAGTACATGTGGTTATCATAAGCAGCACACATTTTGGACACCTGCAGGTATCGGGAGGACTACAGAATAGTGAGCACACGATACTTTTATAACATAATGGCTGAGAAACCAGATGGATGTAGTTCTACTTGTAATCCTAAAAAAACCTGTTGTTACAGTTCAGGCCGAGGAGCATGCTCATGTAGGGCAGCTGGTGTGCTGTGTACAGATCATTGCCCATGTGGTAAAGAGAGACAGTGTAGCAATAAAGTAAGAGAGTCTTATTTGTCTTATTATTAGTTTTATCATTTTTTGTTACTGAAGCCTATCAGTAAAAAACCCACCACAATTGCCAACTCAGAATCAGATAAAGTACGTGCAATGACTAGGAGAGTAGGCACGGCCATCAGTAAGACAACTACAGAATCTACTTACTTGGCTAAAACAAGTACATATACAATTGCTTCAGCTACCACAGGTGGTGGTTGTAGCTTTGATGACTTAGTACATGGCGAAAAAAACTATGTTTGTGAGGCAAGCTACTTATTAAACCTGAAAGAAGAGCCAAAATATACATCTGATGAGACCGAGGAAAGAGAAAAAGCCAATCAACAAGTAGCAAGGCTAATAAGACATTTGAATGGGATATTCAGTGAGCTTAAAATTCGAGGAAAAACAGTTCAAAAGTTTTATATTGGGAAAACATATGCACCTAAATCACAAAGGAAAGGTGTGGTGTTTAATAATATGGATCCATTTACATTTACAAAAAATGGCATCAGTAGTAGATGGTCGAGTTATTATAAAAGAATGGGGTATGATGGCCTCATAGTCCTTACTGTCGTCACAAAAAATCTGCTACTACCAAAAGAAAGAAGACAAAAATATAAGGACCAAGAGGATTATGCTCTAATGTTGGAACGACGGCTAATAGAATATTATAGATACAACAATGATCCTAGGATAGAAAATCCTACTTTAAAAGAAGGAGGCAAGTCTTCAGTACTATATGCCGGTTATCCAGTTTATGTAGCTGTAAAATTTAAACCTAAATCTACATGTGTAAAACTTAAAAAATAATTGCATTAAATAACTAATAATAATATTTTTTACATAATTTAAATTTTTGTGAAATGTAAATGCAGACGCCCAGCAATGAAACATAAAAAATGTATAAAGCCACTTTACACCTGTCCATTCTTCTATACAGAATCAGGATTGAAACTGGGTTAAGGCTTTTCTACACTGCTGGGGACTTCCATAATGTCCACTGAATCAGTTTAAAACTGGATTGAGTCATTCTAATGGGCATTATCAGTTCGACACTTGATCTTAATGTGCATTATGTTAAACTATGCACCTCATGCAATTAGCTGAACCAGTTCAAACTACACTATACATTGAAGTATGTACAGCATTGAAGTGTATATAGAAATACATAAATGTATGTGTACATGTACATGTAACAGTAATAATACAGACACATAATGCATGTAATTAATTATTGGTATTCATTAAAATGTCGATACCTGTTGCAATAAAGCCTCAAGAACATCTAAACTTCTCTCACCAATTTGACTAACCACATCAACAATTGCCTCAAAGAATGCTATATGGAGCTCCCAATTACTCTAATGGGTGTGGTAATTAATGGGCGTGGTCTCTTACTAAATGGGTGTGGCTTACTTTGTCATTCAGAAATGTGATCATGTGTGATAGTATAACCTCTTTAGCTGATGGGGGATTGAAAGGTAAAATTTTTGTAGATTGTCATACTTATTTTTGAGTGATAGTCTTACCTTTTTGAGCTCCAAAGAAAGTGCATAATTTCCCAGCACTGTGGGTTAGGAATGCTCTCTTAACATTGGAATCCTAAATAATAATAATAATAATAATAATAATAATAATAATAATAATAATAATAACTTTTGTCGATTATACATGTATAATTATTGTCATTATTATTAAGTTTGTCTATACATGTACATAATGCATAAACACAGTTACCGCATCTCTCTCTAACTTAATTCCCAGTTTTCTCTCTCTTTCCTCTCTCCTCTATCACACACTTACATTGTCACTGAGTAGATGTACTACAATTGATTGAAATGTTTCATGTAACTGATGTAACTTATCATTATCATATATATCTGATGAAAGAAAACAAACAAACAAACAAATAAATAAAAATAAATAAATAATATGGTACTTTATTATAACTTGATATTGGTGGTCTATCACTTGACTAGCCATTAATATAACCTTGATAGCTAGCCACACCCACGCAATTAATTCACATTAATACTTGTATCTGTATACATATATGCACATGTACCTGTGGAATAAATCTCATTGACATCACAATAATACAATAATTATGAT